TCAGGCGCTTAGTATCCTAGCGGTACCTTAAGCGCTTACGCACTCGTGTGGCTCCGCGTTCATCGCATAGGGCCACGTTCTGCTTACGTAGCCGTCCCGCATTACCGTGGGACATGGACTGCACAGTAGTTACGAATACGGTAGTGACTTCACACGCTCCTGTCATATATATACAGTCGCTACCATGAATATCATCTAAGTCTTCTCTCTCCACCGAACGACTACCATCGTCAGCTATCAGCCTAACCCGCTACTACTCAACCTTCAACACTAACTGCCCGGTGAGTCTGCGCTTTCATAGACATCCTAGCTATACTCGCGTCAGTCCTTTGTCAGGTTATGAGCCCCGCGGGGCGCGGCGGAGCCTAGTACCTCAAGGCGGCTTAGTATGCCATGGGGGGGAGTTATTCGCAACGGTTCATCCGAAGCGTTTCCCCCTTCGCCCACTGGTTAACACCAGGGCGGCAGGAATCAAGGGGACACCCTCCTGTCATGTGTGAAGGAACCCATGCACCTTAACCGGTTCGGGTCTCGAGCGGCTCTGGAGGTCTAGACCGCTAGTCTACCGCGGACTCGCCTGGGCATGATGTAATCCGTCGAGTGTACCCACGCTGACGTTATCTTAAACCCCAGATTCATCAACATGTCTACTTCTGGCAACCTCACGCTCTCCACGTCCGCTCAGATCTGCGGTATCTACAACGGTACCGACATCCTTTCCTGGCGTACCCGCATGGAAAACCATATCCGGGCCTCAGGGGCCGGATGGGCTCTGCGCAACACCCGCGCAGAGATGAAGACGTTGACTTCGGACTTCAAGGAGGTCAACCAATGGGAGACTCACAACGACACGGCGGTCGGCAAAATTCTCGAGGCGCTCAGCCACGATCAACGCGAGATTGTTAAGGGCTTGGACGAGGCGCGTGCGATCCTCGACAAGCTCGCCGGCAGCGCGCAAGCGCGCGGTATCAGTACCGCGATCAACGAGCTCAAGGTAGCCCTCAACACCCAGATCCCTGCCGACACCGACCCCAACCCGGCCATGGCCAAGATCGTCGCCTCCCTGGACCGATACACCTCCCTTGGCGGGAAGGTGCCTGGCGAGTTCGCCGGCGCCATCCTGTTCTCGAAGATCCCCAGCGGCTACGAAGCCGCTAAGCACGCCATCAACGCCACTCAGTACAAGAGTTCGACGGCGCAAGTTACTGCCGGCGCTGGGCCTACCGTGCCCATTTCTCTTGGTACTCTGACGAAGGAGCTCGTCATGATGCACATCCGTAGTGACTGGGAGTTACGCTCCGCATCGCAGAAGAAGAAGAAGTCGCCTCAGGTGAAGGAGGAGCAGGCCAACAAGGCTAGCTCCGGTACGAAGCAGTACAACGGCCAGTCGTCATCTGACGGCAAGAAGAAGCGTCCTTCTAAGAAGGAGCGCAAGGAGCATCAGGCGCAGCAGCAACAGCAGCAGCAACAGAAGCCGGCGGCCGCTAACGCGGCTTCGTCGTCGGCTCCTGCCAGCGCGTCGCCATCTCCGACGGCGCAGAGTGCCGCACCCGCCGCTGCTAACTACTCGGCGACATTTACTACGCCGGCTCCCATCTACCACGTCGCGCACGTCGCTTCCGGGCCGTCTGGCCCCTCATACTCTCCACCGGTGTATTCCGCACCTACCCCCGATCCGCGCAAGCGGTCCCACCAACCCGCGACGGCCTTCCAAGGCCGTAGCAGCACTCCGGCGCCCCCTCACGGAACCGCAGGCGCACTCAAGCGCCAGCGGGACCAGGGCATTGCGCCCACTTTTGAGGGAACGCGCGCCGAGTTGCCCGCGTTCGCGGGGGAGACGCCGCTTATTCAGCGGCTCTCCATGGGCCCCTCAGCGTCCCCGCCTCTGTCGGCTCGCATCGAGCCGGTAGAGGAGCCTTCTCGTAAGCCGTCGGTTACCCCTCCGCGCGCTTCCGACTTTGACCAATATGTGTCTGGGTTAGGTCCTACCAAGCGCACCAAGTTCTCTGACTACAAGAAACGTCAGAAGCTTGGTGACCGCCTCGCCGGCGGAGGTGCTTATGTCGACGACTCTGCCACCGGCCACAAGGGCTGGCTGAACGCAGAGGCGTACGCAGAGTACCAGCAACAGAAGGAGGACCTTCGCCGTACCATGGCGCCCACTCCAGTCCAAGTCGCCGAGTACGGCTATGAGGACGACATCGAGGAGTTCGAGGGTATGTCGCTCAAGGAACCGTCCGAACAGGGCGGAGAACGGGCGGTGTCACTCGATTGCGAGTCGGTCTGGTGCGCAACCAGTTTTATCGATGCCGCTGACAATGTATCTGGTGCTAATTCCTTTACAGGTGAACCATATGTAGTCGGTAGTAATTCTTCGCATGTATCTGCAGACGTAATGAATGGACAATGCGTACATTCAAGTTCTCAGTGGTGTGATATTTGCATCGATAAAGCATTGGTCGTACGCGACACTGACCGTGAGAAATCTCTTCATGACAAGCTGCATGCACGCTATCCTATTGGATGGGTGCTTGACTCAGGTGCATCCACGCACTTCACGTTCGAACTCTCGGATTTCTCCGAGTATGAGGAACTACCAGAGGAAGAGAAGTTTACCGTCTCAACATCGTCCGGATCTATCCGGTGTGAGGGCTCAGGGACAGTTGTCCTTCGCCACGAGAATACGCGAGGGAAACCTTGCACGACCCGAATCTACCCCGTTTTTTACCTTCCCGGCGGAACCGTTCGTATGCTTTCGACGGGTCAATTCTGCCGCAACGGGAACATTCTGCACGGAGATGCCGACAAGTTGGTAGTGCTCACTGCCGACAAGTCGAAGGAAGTGGTGCACGCTACAGTGTGCCCTGGGGGGAACCTATTTTGGGTTCACACATCATTAGATCTGCACCAGGCTCATGTGACTGGTGTTGTCGGAATGAATCTACCCGACTTTCAGATCTGGCACCAACGTCTCGGGCATTGCTCGGACGAAGTGCTTCGCTACGCTAGGAAACATGTCGAAGGAGTTCCTTCGAGTCTTAGCTTACCCTCGCCGACGATTCGTCGTCCGTGCGAGGGGTGCATGCTGGGTAAAAAACACCAGATTCCGTTCCCACCAAACGAACATCGCAGCAATGAGTTCCTTGGATTAATCCATGCCGATCTCAAAGAGTTCGCAGTCGAGTCGTGGAATAAAAAATCATACGCACTTGTCCTCATGGATGACTGCACGTCCTACGCATGGGTCATGCTTCTCAGTCGGAAGAGC